GCTGCCAAAAGGGAAGATCTATGCAATGGGGCCGGCCAAGAAGGAGGAACTAAGGAAGTTCATCGACAAAAACCTGGCGCGAGGTTTCATTCGGCCAGCTTCCTCTCCTTTCGCGGCACCCGTCCTCTTCCGGAAGAAAAAAGATGGGGGCTTGAGGCTCTGCATGGATTACCGGGGTTTGAATGCAGTGTCCTCCACCAACGCCTACCCTATGCCACTGATTAAAGACTTGCTAGCAGAAGCAGCTAAAGGGAAAATATTTTCCAAACCGGACTTAAGGGACGCATACTTTCGTGTGCGCATAAAGAAAGATGACGAGCCGAAAAATACTTTTAACACTCTCCTGGGGCAATTTGAGTACTTGGTGATGCCTTTCGGACTTCAGGGCCCCCCGGGGGTCTTCATGAACTTGATAAACGTAGTATTACACAGGCATTTGTTTAAAGGGGTGCTCATGTATCTGGATGATATTCTTTTGTATTCCCCTGATGTCCCCTCACATGTGAAACTGGTGAGAGAGGTCCTAAGCACGTTGCACAAGCACAAACTGTTTGCAAAATTGTCCAAATGTGAATTTCACAAGACGCTCATTGACTTTTTGGGCTATCGCATCTCAAACGAAGGGTTGGAGATGGACCCGGGGAAGGTCCGAGATGTCCTGGGGTGGGAAGCCCCTCGGACTAGACGCCAATTACAATCCTTCGTCGGATTCACGAACTTTTACCGCTCCTTTTTACCCAATTTTGCCCAAATTAGCCTCCCCCTCACGGACCTTTTAAAAACGAAGGGAAAAGGCCCGGAGGCTACTAAACCGGGCGCCCCGCTTCCATGATCTTCTGAGTGCCAGGAAGCATTCAGGCGCTTGAAAGCCCTGTTTACTTCAGAGCCGGTGCTGGCTCACCCTGATGAATCAAAAAAGTTCATTGTACAAACTGATGCTTCGGATGTGGCCATGGGAGGGGCCATCCTGTAAGAAGGGGAGGTGGGATGTTACATCCTCTAGCCTATGTGTCTAAAAAGTTCAATGACTCTGAGAGGAACTGGTCTGTGTGGGAGAAGGAGGCGGGGGCAATAAAAATGGCGCTGTCTACCTGGAGGCATTGGTTGGAAGAGGCTAGGGTCCCCTTTGAGGTGTGGACGGATCACAAAAACTTGGAGACTCTCAAAACGCCTTGCTGCTTGAATGCCAAGCAATTGCGTTGGGCAGATTTCTTCTCTAAGTTTCGGTTCACCCTACACCATTTCCCGGGCTCGGCGAACTTGTTAGCTGACGCCCTCTCGCGCCTCCCCCAACATGACAGCAAACGGGACATCATCCTGGATTCCGTATTCACGCCCACCCAATTGGGTGGTGGTGGTGACAACTCGCAGCTAGGCAGCCAACCTCCCCTCCCCTCAGCTAGAGTCAAACTCCAGCCCACTGGCGCCAACATGGGCTGACCAGTTCAACTCCGCCTTCTCGGAGGCGGACCAGGAACTATTGAAGGGGGTGGGAGATTGTACACAAGGAGAAAATGGCTGTTGGTATCGGGACCATAAGCTGTACATGCCACAATCTCTCAGGGGGGAGGTGATGCAATCGGTTCATGGCTCAAAGCTGGCGGGTCATTCTGGCTTTGTGAAATCCCTGCAGTTGCTACAGAGACAATTCTGGTGGCCGCACATGCGCAAGGATTTATCTTCGTTCGTTCAATCCTGTCAAATGTGTGCTATGAGCAAGCCTCGCCCTGGAAAAGTTCCAGGACTCTTAAAGCCCCTACCCACCCCTACTCGACCATGGGAGGTCATCTCGATGGATTTTATCACTGATCTGCCACCCAGTAAATCTATGACTGTAATCTGGGTGGTGGTGGACCTGTTCTTGAAGCAAGCACATTTCATCCCTTTCGCTTCCCTGCCCATGGCCAAAGCCCTTGCCAAAGGGTTTCTGGTTCATGTTGCGCGCCTCCACATGTTGCCGGCCAAAATTATCTCCGACAGGGGAACACAATTCGTTTCCAAGTTTTGGGATGAATTAATGAAGCTTATGGGGGTGGAAAGGGGACTGAGTAGTGCTTACCACCCAGAGACTGACGGGCAAACGGAAAGGGTTAATCAGACCTTGGAACAGTATCTGTGTTGCTTTACAAACTACCAGCAAGATGATTGGAATGATTTACTACCTCTTGCTGAATTTTGTTACAACACCACTTGCCACACATCGACGGGGATGTCCCCATTCAAAGCACTCTATGGATATGACAGCCCACCGATCCCCGTTCTGGAGGGGAACAATGACTTGGGACCTGGGGAGTCTGGATTGAGGTGCGAAAAATTGAGGGAATCTTGGCCCATCTTGTGTAAAACGTTAAATGCGGCCAAGGATGCTTACAAGACGCAGGCTGACAAGAGAAGGGTGGAGGGTTGGGCTCTGCAGCCTGGAGACTTCGTTTACGTGTCCACAAAAATATTAAAATGTTGCGTCCAAGTAGAAAATTGGGGTGGAAGTTCATTGGGCCATTTAAGGTACGAAAAGTGATCAATGAGGTTGCGGTCGATGTTGAATTGCCTAAAAATCTGAGGTCTTTGCACTCTATATTTCATTTCAGCCTCCTGAAAAAAGACACTGGGTCCTGTTCTTGGCGTGCGGACCATGCGGTTCCATCGCCTCTGTTAATTGAAGGAGAGGAACACAATGAGATTTCTAGGATTTTGGATTCTAAACGCAAACGTGGAAAGCTGTTTTATTTGGTGGATTGGAAAGACTTTGGACCCCAGCACCTCGAATGGGTGGAAGTAGGGGATATTCGGGCCCCTCAGTTGATCCGCAAATTCCACCGGGAGTTCCTGGAGAAACCGGGAGATCTCCCGGAATGACCAGGAGACATCTGGATTTTGGGAGGGAGAGTCTGGTTTTCGAGGGGGCAGTATGTCAGCTAGCTGCCAAATGTTTTCCTGTTTTCCCTTTCATGCAAATTCCTCTCCTTGCGCTTAATTGCCTTGCTGCCACAACGCGTATCTTTCAAGGCCACTGGAGGAGTCACTGGAGAAGTTGCTTTGGCTTTCCCTAGGATGAGTCGTGGGATGCTTTACCTGTTATGTTTATTATAACCGTTTGTTCTCAGGCCTAATGGCGTGCGCGGGAACTCCCGTAATTGGGTCTGGCTGATTTGAATGTACTATAACCTGTCATGCTCTTAGATTACTCGTCATTCCTAACAGTGTTCCTGTTCATGCATCTATAGCTTCAATAAAAGTAAAACCTTCCTGCAAGTGTGTACTTCGTTGTTGCTGTGGGTCCTGACAGCCCACGGGGCATGATTTAGGAGCCGCCAGGGGGTTCAGCACCAACTGGACCAGACCACATTAGAGTAGCAGGGCAGATTCACTCAGCAATGCTTTGCACTCTTTCACTTGAGCCTGTTTCCATGCACTGTGCTTTCTCTGTTACAGGCCGCTGTGACAGACATGGGAGCTGGATCAGTAAAAAGAAACTGGTCACCTTAGCCCTACCTCATGGATACCAGAAGGCAGAGGACTGTGGGGCTGGTTCTTGTGAAAGGCAATCTCTGCTAATTCAGCTCCCTCAGCGCACAGAAGAATGAGCTCCATTTCACAAGGATCTTCTCAGGTGCGATGCAAAATCACTCACAGGGGCAGCTAACTCTGATGCTGATGTCTGACTTACTCTTTTTGTTAGGTTAACGGCTCAGAATGGCTGGCTGATGTTTCCTCAGTGGCACTAATTATTAGGAGATGGTCCCTTGATGGCCCTGTTAAACTACCCATGAAAGTATGCATAATAATAACACCCCCAGGGGTAACCCAGTTAAAATCTGTTGCAGCAAAAACAAACAAGAGTCTGGTGGCACCTTAAAGACTAGCTTCCAGTGCTGGCGGACAAGAGCCCACTAATTGGGCTGTAATTCACGAAAGTTTACACTGGAACAAAATGCTGTTAGTCTTTAAGGTCATGTTTATTTTTGCTACCAACAGACTAGCATGGCTTCCCTTCTGGCACTGTTATCATGAAAGCTTAGAAAGGGTGATCTCCCTCAATGAGGGGAGGAGGTAGTTTTGTGTGTGAGAGAGAGGCAAAGAGAGGGAGAAGAAAACAAAACAACAGTTCCGACCAGCAGAGGAAGAAGCAGTCAGAGAGGGCTGTGAATTGAAGTACTTTACAGAATCTCTCTTTCCCCCTCTCTGGGAATCTGAGGTGGGGGCCACAGATCTCCTGCCCTGTATGAGTGTCTCTTTGCTTCCACCTGTGCTCTACTTGTGTATTTGTAAAGACAGCAAATAGTCGAAAAATGCCTTCAGTGCTCTCGTCTGTAAACAGAATGAAATTCAGGCAGGGTTTCCCCCAGAACTTCTTGCTGCTTGGAGAAATGGGAAGAAATTTGTGTGCACATAGGACCTATGGCTGAAGTGCATCTGAGCATACACAGAGTACCTTTCCCCTTATGACAGGAAGCAGCTGTCAAAAAAACTTCAAGTACAGAGAGCCATAAAGCATGTACAGAATGTCTCCTCCCATACAATAGAAAATGGAGGGGGGGAAATGACAACTGAACACAGTTTATTGTGGATGTGCCTGCTTTCTCAGCTGGGCAGGAGGAAGAAATTCTGACTGGTCATTCACTTTCTGACTAACTGGCAGCAGGATCAGACACTCCTGCGAGGCAGTTTGCATGGGGGCTAGCTCAAGCCAAGGGGGCCATTGTGGGTGTCGCTTTGCCCCCACCACTAGCGCAAGGATCACCCCACAAGCTCCATGACAAAGTGAGGAGTTTGAACGCAGACTAACAACCCAGATCCTACTCTGACACACTATCCACTACAGCCAATTAGCTCTCGTTCTGGGGTCTCTTCCTACATTTCCAAATCTGTGTACAAGAAGACAGGGTCATGCTAGCCAGGAACTGGAATGGGTGGCAGCTTCTTTCCCTCAGAATACAGCCCTGCATATCTACTTAGTTTTCAATGTTAGTTACGGTGATTTTTCTCTCTTGTTCCCTCACCACAGAGCTGTAAGTGTGTCCATCAGAGCCACAGACAGATGCGAGCTGGGTCATGTGACAAGGCTTGCAAAAGCTGTCCTTGTTTCCATGGAGTTTCAGGGCAGGCTGCTTGATTCTGTGTATGGAAGGGAGAAAGAGGAGCACATGTCAAAGGGGAGCGAAGCTCACAGCAAACCACAAAATGTGTTCTTCTCCTCAGCATTTAGGAGATGTGAAATATCCCATCGTTTCCCCTGACTTTTCAGTTTCCGTTTAAAAGTCAACTGAAGAAAATGGAAAGCCATATGACATTTGAACACTCCACAGACAATCACTACGAAAGATGAACCACCGCTTGCCCCTCTTTCGGTGACTTCACTGTAGGCAACATTTTCACCAGCAATGCCCCCTGCTTGGGCACACAGGAGTGTTCTGAAGTTCTGCACTTCCCGGGCATTTCCAGCATGACACATGGAGAGAGGGGGCTTCGGCCTCCCCCCCTGCTTTCCCCCAACCCAAAATGGCCTGAGGGCATGCTATTTGCCCCATTGGGATCTCCATGGGTACTAACAAGTTACATATTAGTTTCCACAATGGGGCAAATAATGCCCCCCAGGGCTGTTTCAGATCAAGAAAGGAGGCCTAAGCTTCTCTCTCCACACATCACTTTCCTGGTCCAAATTGGGCCTGCGTATACCTGGGAAGTGTGGAACTTCAAAACACACCTATTCACCTGATACAGAGACAGATGGACCTGTAAGCTACACAAGGGAATTTGTAAGTTGTAGGTGGACCTGTAAGCTACACTTCCACATATGTCACAGTCCCTCCCTGTATGGTGTGTCATTTTTGTCTTTTAGTCTCTAAAGGACACCCTCTTTTCTACCAGAGACAAATCCCTTATCAGAAGCGTTGCCAGCTCTGGATTGGGAAATACCTGGAAAAATTTTTTTTTGGGGGGTGGAGCCTGGGGAGGGGAGGGAGTTAACTGGGGTGCAATGCCATTGAGTGCACCTTCCAAAGTGGGCATTTTCTCTAGGTGAACTATCTCTGTCACCTGGAGAGAGTAGCTGTAATCCCAGGAGATCTCCAGACACCACCTGGAGGTTGGCAACCCTACTATTATAGCTGGCATTCAGGTTGCTGCTGTTTTACAGGCAGAAACTCTGTGCCTTTGACCACTGTGTGAGGGGCAGAAGGAATCAGCAGGTTGCAGGAATCAGCAGGCAAGGCTGTTCCTATCCCTGCATCTTGATGAGATGAAAAGCCGTTATCAGTTGAGTGACCAGCCTGTAGTTTTCTCCAGTCATTCCTCCAAGGAGTTTGGGATGTTGTACAAGGTTCTCCCCTCCCGCTAGCTCTGTAAGGTCACTGATGCCCAAAGTGACTGGAGTGTTTGGGAGTTGTTTGTTTTAACTTTTTATTTACTAGTTTTTTTACAAGTCAATACAGAAGGAGGAGGAGGAGATTGGTTTTATACCCCGTCCTTCACTCAGAGTCTCAGAGCGGCTTACAAACTCCTTTCCCTTCCCCTCCCCACAACAGACACCCTGTGAGGTAGGTGGGGCTGAGAGAGCTCTTTTGAGGACGGCTCTTTCAAGAACAGCTCTGACAGAACTATGGTTTGTCCAAGGTCATCCAGCAGCTGCAAGTGGAGGAGTGGGGAATCAAACCATGTTCTCCCAGATTAGAATCCACACACTTAACCAATGTTCCCTCTAAGATGTAGAGTCCTGTGAGCAAAAATTCTACTTTGTGAGCTACCAGCATTAAAGTTGTGAGCAGGTGATTTGGCTACTGCATAAATTAATGTGTTCTGGAGCCATCCTTCCTGAGCTGAGACAAAAATGTGTGAGCTGGAGGCTAAAAAACTGTGAGCTAGCTTACACTAACTCAGCTTAAAGGGAACACTGCACTTAACCACTACACCAAATTGAGAATACCAACACCATAATAAATAACAATAAATTAAAATAAAGAAAAAGTTGATAGAAGGAGTTGGGATGAAAATAAGATTGTTGTGTATTACTTTCAAGTCTTAGGTTAACTGGTGAGGATTGGACCCCTCGGTCTCCCAGCTTCTACTCCAGTACTCTGAAACCACTAAACCATATGTACAGAGATACATGGGGAAATATGGGAGTGAAGGCAGCATAGTATAGCCTGATCTCATGAGATTTCAGAAGCTAAGCTAGGTCAGTACTTGGATGGGAGATCACCAAGGAAGACTCTGCAGAGAAAGGCAAAGGCCAGCCACCTCTGCTTCTCACTTGCCTTGACAGCACCTTGTTGGGGTCGCCTTGAGTCAGTGGCAACTTAACAGCACTGATATATGTAAGGGAAATACAAAGACAATGGTATGAAATAAACATGGCCTTTGTTTTCAGAGTTCTGACCAATGAATGCAAAGACACTGAGATGAATGACGAGCACCTGGCAGTGGGTCTTTTTAGCTGACTGGATTAAAGTTTGTCCATAATTGGTAACCTGGCAATTTGGAACTGTGCTACTGTTTTGTACTGATTTATGATGTCCCTCCCTACCTAGCATACCATCAAGTCTACCCCCCCCACACACAAATATCTGGTTATGGGTCTACAGCAAAAGCAAGTTATCTCAACACACACCACAGCATTCCTTACCTGTGCTCCAGTTTCTTGCGGCTAATACACATGGCCCGCTGGTAGCCCTGGGCAATGCACACTTTATGACGGCTGCATTTAACTTTCTGGCAGGGATCCTTAGTAGTATCCACACCTGGCAACAATGGTAAAGGAGCATAAGTGATTAGCATGTAAATGCAACCTTTTTTCCACCTACACATGCAGGTGCTACCTGCCTTCTGATGTTGTTGTTGTTCAGTCACACAGTCGAATCTGACTCTTCGTGACCCCATGGACCAGATCACGCCAGGCCTTCCTGTCTTCCGCCATCCTCTGAAGTTTGCTCAATTTCATGTTCGTTGCATCTATGACACTGTCTACCCATCTCATCCTTTGCCGTCCCCGTCTTCTTTGACCTTCAATCTTTCCCAGCATCAGGGTCTTCTCCAGTGAGTGCCCCCTTCTTATTTGGTGGCCAATCTGATACAATCTGCCTTCTGATACAGAGGCACTAATCAGTGTACAATGGCGTACACTCCCATCCACAGTGAGATATCTTGTGCATTTGTATCTGTCTTACATAGAGATGCTAAGGGATCATATTAACTCAGCCACATGCACATGTGAATATGCAACCATATGGATCTCTTTCGTTGCAAAACCGGAAGAGGGAGCATATGTCCTCAAACTCCTGGTGGATATGCTCAAGCCGGTGATGGAACAACTCAATGGTATTAACCAGCAACTGACCGTGATGAATAAAAACTTTGCAGCACAGCAGCTTCAGCTGAACAAAACAGAGAAAAAAGTGGAGCAGGCAAACGAGAAAATTAAAGAGATAGACACCACAAGCAAGAAGTAGAAGAAAAGGTTGGGAGATGTGGAAACGAAGCAAAATTGCCAAGAGAATCGAGTTTTGCAGCTACAGATGGAAAAAGCTAACATGATACTCAGGTTTCAGGGGGTTCCTGAAACAGATCGGAAAGATCTGAAGAGGGTGCTCAGTGAGATCATCGCTCCATTGGTAGGCTTAACAGTGGATGAACTTTTAAACGAAATGAAGTCAGCCTATAGGGCATACTCCGATTACATTTAAAAAAAATAGCCTATCTGGAGAAATAGTGGTCAGGTTTTCAAGAAGACAAACCAGAGATGCTATTTTAAAAGCAACATCAGCAACCCCACTGAAAATGGGAAATGTAATCATCAAAACCTTAAAGGACATTCCATTTGAAATTAGACAAAAGAGAAAAAACTACAAGGACTTAATTTCTTTCCTTCAAACTAATGGGATATCGTACAGATGGGCAGTTCCGAAGGCTGTCATCTTTAAGATCAACGATAGAAGAGAGAAGATAGACTCCACTTTTAAAGCTAAAGAATTTTTGAGACGTCAGCTGGGGACAGAGGAAGAGTCCAAAGAGGTAGAAACGAAGTCTAGTGACTCTGCTAACTCTGGAATGGAAGAGGACTCTGCGGCAGAAAAGGGTGCAGGACCTGCCAGAGTGGAATATGATTTCAGAGACAGAAAGCCGAAGTAAAGGCAGAAGGACTTGGAAAATGGCCTTTTGAAGCGAAGAATAAGAAGATGATCAGAGATTTCTCTCATAACAACTAATAAAATAGCAAACAAATAGCGAACTGTTATAAGCAAGAACTCTACAAGTATATTGTGATATTAATACTTATAGTACTAACAATTTTACTAACAGTGAAAAGATCTCCTCCTCTTCGGGTTTTAGTTTAGTGTGGTTTGCTTTCCTTTATGCTTAGTTGTAGTCCCTTCCCTAATATTTCTTTGTAGTTTTTAGTATTTGCAAAATAAAAAAATATCCCTCCGGGGATTTTTAACCCCCCCAAAAAAAAACTGTTTAGTACAAGTACAGAACTTAAAGTTGGTCGAAGACAATGGTGTGTAATGACATTATGTAATTATATTTGTCATGATTCCCCAAACTGAGCTAGCCAGTTCCACTTTCTCTGACAAACATACATTAGTGTTCAGATGCTTTATTTTTAAAAATTCTGCCAAATTCCATGGCTTCTGGGTGTCCACACACAGCAATTTTATGCACAATTATGCACATCTAAATCCTAGATCTATGAGATTCATGCATATACCGAGGTCCATGAGATTTTTGCAACAGTGAATAATTACCATGCCACAACTAGAAGAAAAGTTGAAAGTAATACCCCCTCCTCCTAATCAGAAAAATCTGTGTGCAGTTATAAAAAGTTGTACATCTGGATGCACAACCCCATTGGCTTTGTGCTATTTACCCAAAACTCACTGTGTTGGCTCGCTGAATCTTCTGATGTGGAGATGAGTGTTGCCATTCAGGGTTACCATGTAGATGTAACTGGTTGCCTATGATTACAGCTGGGTTCGGGGTCATAGGCTAGAATCCAATGCAGAGTTTAGGGCACTTTAAGCATTCCAATTTTAATGGTGCTTCGGTGCTGCATTATAGCTCGTAAACATTATGGAAATCCAGCCTGCAGCAAGGCAGCCTAAAAATTGCTTTTGCACTATTTTCTGAAGGTCAACGTATCAGTATTCTTCTCAAACCAGAGAAGTCAAGGTATTCTTGAAATGGAATTAAATTTATTCAACAAAACCAAGAGAGAGGACTGGTGCGTACTGGTTCCATTTTTATTGGCAAAGTAAAGGAGGGTTTTTTTGTAAAAAAACAACAACAAAAAACCCAAATCAGCTATGCCTTGAGTGGACAATGATTGGAAGTCAAAGTTGTCAGGACTGTATGTTGGTAACTAATGAACTCCTCTATCCCAAAGGTCTCAGAGCTTGAAAATGTTATCTTGTGTGTGTGTGTGTGATATGTATTCTTGAATGGTCAACCATTCTCAAGCAACACAAGTAGCAATAATGCAGGAACTGTGGCAACCATAAGCCTTCACTGAGCAAACCCCAATTCTGTCAAGCTTTTTAAGACTAGAGTGTCTAACTCAGCTGAACTAGTAAACCATTCTGCCCAATCTTCTTTGCTTCGTCTTCCTCCTGGACCTCTCCTTGCAACCAGTATTGTTTCACCTTTCTCTTCTCCATCAAGCTCCTCTTCAAAAAAGCCACCTTTTCCATAAACCAGTCTGACAACCTGCTGCAATCATCTCAATCAGCATGATCGGGTATGAGGAGCTGGACTGAGGTTCTCCACAACCCTCCCCCACTAATACGATTATCTTAATGATGACACCTTATGTGACAGAGCATGCATGTACAGCGCCAACCACTGTGCATGCACACAGCTGGATCAAGGCTGAACAAAGCAGACAACGACAGAGAAAGTTCAGAATCCATACATTACTCCCCAAAAGATTGATTATACTAAGTAGGAAACACCTTTAATAACTTGAAAATTTAACAAATTTAACAAATGAAGAGACCCAATGGGCTTTTCTGGGAAACTTTGCTACCACTCACTCCACTCACTCACAGCATTCTGACTTGACTAGTCACGACTCTGAGTAAATGAACACAAGCCAGGTATGTCATGACTTGCTCCCATTTGTATTGACTTGACAAAAAAAGCTACTGGGTCAGCATGATACTCTTCTTGCAATAGGCAGCCATCATTTAAAAGGCAAGCAGAGTTAAAAAAGGAAAATTACCTTCATCAGCTGGCTGATTATCCTCCCAGCTCTTGATGTAGTCATCCTAATGTGGAGAAGAAAGCAAATAAATAGCTTAGACAAAGGAAATGTCTGCTATGAAAAAAAATCCAGACGCTCAGAACTCCTGACTAATCAATCCTTATAACATATTATATTAATATTATATAGAGAGTGCAACAGTGATAGTCCAAATTCCAGGAAAGAGGCTCTGTAAGAGAGCTGCAAATAATGTAGGAATTCTTCTTGGCTTCACTGTCCGCTGTGTTCAGAAGCTGAACGGCTGGATTGCTAAATTACTTGGCCTTTTAAAATGTATTCTTCTACACAACTATTAAAAGGTATGGCCCAGGTTCTAAGAGGTTTGTCCTTTGTTTAGTTTGCTGGAGCGCTGGTAACAAAATTTAGGAATGACAGCACTTCCTGATGCCAACTTGTTTTTGAGAGTTCTGAAATTTGGCAAGCAATCCACAGCAATCAATGGTACCATTTTTCTGCTTTCAAGTGTTATGCAAGCACAAATATGCACACCAAAGAGCTAGAAAAACAAAGCAAAAATGGTTTGATGTGAGGGCCCTCAGGGAACAAAATGGCTGTCCTGTTTTATTAAAATGAAGCTGTCCTGTGTTATCAAAACTACCCAACCATCAGCCATCTTCATTTTTAAAAGTTTGTGTATTTTTTCTGCATATCAGGGCAAAATTCTTTTGAGGACAGGACAACTACTTTTGAGGCAGAGGCAAGTAACTATCAGGTAGCTTTCCCTCAGCTTTTACACAGATATAGGGTTGCCAACCCCCCTGGTTTGGCAGGGGTCCCCCGCTTTTGGGGGGCTTCTACCCACTGGCGGCCAGCTGGCTGCCGGAGGAAGCCCCGCCCACAAGCCTCAACACTTGCCGCCACCCCTCTCCCTTCTCTCTTGAGGAGGGGTGGCTGTGGGCCAGCCACGTGCCCGATCTCCACTCAGAGATCGGGTGCGTGGAAACACCTGGTCCCTGCAGTTAAAGGGGCCCCTTTAACTGCAGGGAGCCGGCACCCCTGTTGGGTGGGCCGGGAGAACATCCCCAACGTGACATCATTATGTCGGGGATGCCCCGCCCCCTCCAGGAACGCCCCCCAAAGTCCCCCACTGGGGGTGAAGATAGGATTTGGCAACCCTACACAGATACCTTGGTAAAATTGCAAATAACCATCTCCTCAAATGGTTCATTTTCTAGGGTATGGTAACTGCCTGGTGATCTTACCATGGCTAGAAACAATGCTTCCTGTGTTGGTCTGTCAGGTGGCAGGCCAATCTTTCAAGCAGGGAATGGGCCTACTTTTCCCTTTTACAGGGATTTCTCAAGTATGCTGAGGCAGCTGCCAGGACCTCAAAAGGGCCCACCACCAACCACTAACTGCCAGGGTACAGGGCCCCAGCACCATTCTTTGACCAACTAAGGGAGATGGCTTGAAAGAACACATGGGAGATCACTGCAGGGGTCTTAACCTCTGAGGTGATCTCCATTTCTGGCTGAGAGGCTTACTCGAGGAAGGAATTGGTTCTCTTGTCCTCCTTCAAGCTCCATCAATACTGGTGAAGGAAACTGCTGAGTGAGAAAGGAACGGTGTGGGACTGTGCTCATGTGCAAATGTACACATGAATGCACTTCAGGGGGTCCATAGAAGGTTGCCAACCTCCAGGTGGGGACTGGGAATTTCGCAGGATTACAACTGATCCCCAAATGACAGGAATCTGTTCCCCTGGAGAAAACGGCTGCTCTGGAAGGTGGATTCTATCACATTATACCCTGCTGAAGTTCCTCTCCTCCCCAAACTCTGGCCTCCACAGGCTCCTCCCCCAAATTCTGCAGGAACATCCCAACCCGGAGTTGGCAACTCTAGGTCTGTAGGAAGTCATTTTACCCAGCCCCCTCCCAACTGGAAGGATATTTCACGATCGTTGAGCAACCATCAAGAATGTCTTTCTTCTCACAGTTAAATCTCTTATTTCAAACAATACCAATTAAAATGAGATAGATTTTGTGGAAGCAATTAATATCTAAATTTACTCAGCATGGAAAAAGGCCAAGTATGAGCAAAAACAGTGCTTGATGATTATAGACTAAAGGGAAGATTAAATGTTCTAAATATAAAATGATATTATCATGCAAACTGTCTAGTATAGTTAACAGAATGGCTGCTTGCTGTTAAAAAAATTACGATGATACAGAATTAACAAAGTCTCGGTGATTTATGCTCATGGGTTGTACTGTGAAACAATATACCTGAATTAAAAAGCAAATACATGAACATTATGTGATCAAAAACTGCTTGATGATTTGGAATCATTATGAATTAAGATTTAAATCATATACAGCATAATATCTGAAAACTCCTTCAGGCACGCAGCCAGACATTTCATGGGAAAAACGGCATTAGACTCATAGGAGGGGGCACTAAGGTTGCCAAGTCCCCATCACAGGAAGCCTGACACTCAGTAGGAGGGGCCTGATGATGTCACGGGCAATGTTTAGCAATGTCATGGAGTGGGCTCTGGTGATGTCACACTAAATAGTTCTATTAAAAGTAGCTATTTTGCACACTACTAAGTGTGTATCACATGGTATCTGTGTGCAGTCACAATCATGATGAGCTTTGAAGGGATGGGCCATTTAGGAGACTAAACATTTTTTAAAAAGAGAAAAGAAATATCTATGTGCAAAGTGTAAGTCAGCTTTGAGTGCCAGTTACTGCTCCTATCTACACATGTAGTGGTTATATAAAGCTGGCATGCATAGAAGTCTTAGAAAAAGCCATGTATCTACAATATGGCACACCAAAGGCTGCCCGGGGAAACTGAATTTGCTTATGAGCATACTAGGAGTCCTTTGTGGATTTAATCTGTACACCCCTAGTCTTCTCCTAAAAGATTTTGACGGGCACAAGACATAGGATTAAAAGTTGTGCTGGGAAAGCTGAAGGTAGGTGAGTAGGTGGAGGGGACGGCAATTAAGTACTGCCATTAATTGCTAAAGTCTTGCCTGCAAATCACTTCCTCCAACCATGCAGTTAAGATATGTAAGATTACTGTGTGATGAAGGGAAGGTACTCTGCACACATGCAGAGGCTTTGCGGTCTTGGCATTCAGAGAACTGACAAGTTCTTGCCACATCTCTTCCTACAGTGAGAGATTACAGGGCTTAAGACTGCTCAGGTATTGGGCTCTCTTAGCTCTTTGGCCTTCCATGATACAATACTTTGTTTTTCATCATGAAAGGTGCTGCAGTTTAAGCCTGCCTTAGCATCACACCTCTCCAGTCCTTCAGCCCTTATTTCAGATTTTTAAGGGGGGAATGTGAGAACAGGAGCTGGATAGCGGTTGTTCACTGGTGCATAAAGGGCATTCTCTACATGCTCAGAAGCATGATTACCTACACAGGAAAGTTACATCAAGGCAATTTGTAACCAGGCTGAGTGAAACCGGACATTCATTTTCTGCTTCTCCCCTCGCCCCCAGCAGCCCTTCATATTACAGAGGCGAATTCCTCACCCCAGACACCCCAAATATGGTGTAAATCTCTAACTAATTTTCTGCTCACTGTTGTGCCTACTCATCACTGTGGACATTAAAGAGGGCAGGAAGAAGCAAGGGGATAAGGGAGAAACGCTGATGGGAAACAGCAGGTGAGAACGCATTTGGACAGGAAGGGGTTAACTAACTCAGCTCCAGCAGCTGTGCCTCTTCCTGTTCCTTCACAAGCTAGAGATTTACTTTTTTTGTTTGTTTTAAATGAAAACTAGGAATCTGGAGGGGGGAACCAGACATTTCAGAGGGTGGCTTTGCCCCCAATGCCTCTCCCCCAATAGCTATGGGCCTGCACCTTTTTGTCACAAAAGCTAACAGTACCACAGGGCTGACACTGTTAGTCAATGTGGCCAAGTCTGCCTCATTGTTCTCGAAGCAATACTGAGGGAGGATGAAGATTGAAAAAGAGATTGCTGACTAAAGGCAGAGTATGGACACAATGTCCCCTCTTCAGTCTCGCTGTCCATCCTTACAACTACAGGCAGAATAAAGGGCAGAACTGAGCTTTTGTGCCAGTAAAATTAGCTTCTGGGAAGGCTCAGACTGTTGGCCTTGGCTCAGGCGCCATCTTAGGCAGTGGTGGGCCAACCTTCTTTGATCCTTTTCCCCAGCTCGAAAGGCCATGTGGGCTGGTTTTGTAGAGGACCAACCAACAGAAGGCTTAGCTGTGTGTAAGGTGCTGTTTGAGGAAAGGGACTGGAGTATTATTATTATTTTGCAACTGTTGTAGATGTAAGGCTTTATTAAAGTTGATCCTAGCTAAAAACCAAGCCATATAATCAGAAAGGTGACACAGCTGAGTTCTTGCTGGCCTGCAGCATCTCAGACTATAGATGGGCAACCACAGGTTCAAATGCTCGCCGCCCCATTAAAAGCAAAACACAACTCCCTGTATACACACACGGAATGCCAGAGAGAGGGGGCTTCTAACCTACCCTTTTGTTCTCAACCTCTAAAAGTAGGAAGTGTTCTAAGAAGGAAGTGTTCAAATGTGCAAATGTCTCCCCCACTGCTGCAGTACAAAATTGGTCTGTCCTCACAGTTTGGCTCTTAATTCAGTGATGATTTATTCTATTCTTGATGAACAGCCTTTTGAGAAGAGTTGGTTTTCATACCCCGCTTTTCTCTACCTCAAGTAGTCTCAAAGTGTCTTACAATCGCCTTCCCTTTCTCTCCCTGCAACACTTGAGGTAGGTGGGGCTGAGAGAGTTCTGAGAGATCACTAAGGGGACCCAGCTGGCTTCATGTGGAGGAGGAGAGGGGAATCAAACCCGGTTCTCCAGATTAGAGTCTGCTGCTCTTAACCACCACGTGATGCTGGCTCTTTTGACAGTGAAGTTGGGTTTAGTCAGTACAACATCTAAGCAACACCAAAGTTTTTTCTCTGCAAAAAGAGCCACCCAAGGGGCATCGGTTCACACATACATGAAATGTCTGGCCATGTTCAACCACTTGATGTTCTTTGAAATAAATAAACCATTCCCAAGATGAAGGACCTGTGGCTGAGGGGACCACAAAGAAGATGATACAGATGCTTTGTTGGGATGAAAAGGAAACCGGAGGGTTTTTTAAAACAAAAAATCAGTACTAACCTCCACCTCCTGGATAATGCAGACCACAGCAGAAGGGAGCAGCAGGAAGAAGAAGGGAGAGAAAAAGAGAAGTAAACAATCTGCATGCATAAAGAGGCAGCACAGAGCTGCTAGAGCGCATCATGGCAAGGCAGCGCAACCACCGTATAAATTCCCAGTAACGTCAGAATTCATTTCCAAGAAATGATCTGTTTTATTAACCACTGTGCTAATGCTCTTTTTTTGGTTGTTTATCCCCAGTTTGCAACCATTAAAGTCATTTGCCTGTAACAATGGCAACAGCAGATTTGGATTGCAAGGGATATAAATCAAGACGAGGGCTGATAATTCAGGGCATTTATTAAGCAGCGACGTCTCCCTCCAGAGGTTTCTCTGGCCTATGGGGCATGAACAGCACAGTCTCAGCAAGGGACTCTGGGGCTCCACATCATATTTCATGCGCTGACATTCCCAGCAAGACATACACTTGATTATGCGCCGTTTGCCTCTGCAAATAAAACCTGAAACAAGAGCATGATTAAGACTATTTGTAGGCCGTTGTCGTTATGGCAGCAGCCTGGGAGGCCAACTCCCCTGAAATGCAGTGCAAAAGGAATATATTAGAATACAGACAAGGGAAATCATAGGCATGAGCTCAATAATCCATACTGGAATCCTGTCCACAGACTGGATTCCAGTCCTAAATCTTTTCCGAAAGGCTCTTCCGTGGTCACTGCCTCCCGTCACCCAACCAAGTGACACAGACAGTAAGGGAATGAGAACAGAAGCACATTTCTTCTTGCCCATATAAACCCTTACAAGGTGTTTGTTTTCCCAAACATGCACAAACAGAGTTACAGGAGCTAAGCCAACTAGAGGCGTATCCTCCAGTAGTCATTGAGTCAGAACACGGTTCTATGTTGGTCTTGCAAACAAGTACGGATGCTGCAGACCTCATGGCAGCCCAGGTTTGGAAGACAAGTCCACAGAGTCTGAGTGACGTGACCACCTGCAGGCTACATTTTGGGTCTCTCTGGGTGGTTCTGCATCTAGCATTTGCTCCACATTTTCTCAACTGGGAGGAAAAAGTGCCGCTCCAAACCATATTCGAATACTCAGGGCAATGCCATACTGACTGCAAAGTCAGCCCTGAATGGCCATAAAATGGCCATAAATCCATGCAGAAGGTACCATAAAATCTGGTGATCAACAGAAGTGAAAGCAGCATGCAATGCAGAGGGGAAATTCTGTTCCAACGTCAACGGAGGGAAAAGCCAGTGCAGAATCAGTCCCAGTCTTGCCGCAATTCAACTCTGGCAGATGCTGAACTAAAGGGGGAAGGTCTGAGGGGGCTGCATGGGCAGAGAGGTCTGCTGAATAATGGTGGCGAGTCAGTGAGGGAAGGGGAAGCTCTAAGGAACAGGGCTGGGTCCCTCATGGGTGGGCCATCAGCTTGTCAAGAGGCTGGCTCCCTACTCACAACATGGCAGTGTGTGAGCTAAGTTGGCGGGGATTCGAGCTCACTTACAAATAACTTCCCAAAAGCTACTGAGTAGCCCCCCTGCGGTGTTGTTGTTCTTAAAGTCAATTGCAATATATCACCAGATGAAATGGTGGTGGGAATTCCTCCATTTCAGTTTCCTCCGCTGTCTAGCTGCCTGTAGGAAATTCTTCTTTGCTACAAGTGAGCAGAAGATTGCCTGTTTTTTTAAAAAAACCTGTTCTGTTCTCTTGCCACTAGCTGTACTGGAAAATCCATGGCCAAGGGAATGTTATTAGAAGTGCTGTAGCAGGTATAGGGGCCTAAAGAATGGCCATGTGCCTAGGAGAAAGCTGCTGGAAGCAATAAGCCATTGATCTATTTTAGAAGTGGCTTGCCTCTTCCAGAGTGAGGAAGAGGAGGAGGAGGAGAATGGTACATTGGACCTACCTGAAGGTTCTTTCTCTTCAGTGGGGGAAGAAGTCATCCACATCCCACCCAAAAAGGGATTGCAAGAAGGACGGGGTGGCAAAATAAGGAAGACAAATTGAGAGCACGTGGATGGCAGCGAACATATAGAAGAGCGATCCATGGAGGGGCTTGGACATGACTGGAGAGGTCAGCCAGGGCCACTCCAATAGGAGCCATGCAACAAAAGAAATTTCCATAGCCAATCGAGCGAGCAGAGGCGTGACCTAACCAGTTCCTGGATTACTTCAGTGGGGGGAAGTCCCACTGCATGAAGGCTGTTATTGGTAGAGAGTGGTTTTTAAGTTTTCACGACTTGTTGCAAAACTCTTCTGCCGAACGCCGCCTCTGCTGAAGAGGCTTGGTCCATTCTGTAGTGTCACACAAACGTGGAGAATGACACCCACGTGGCTGCTCTGCATATCTCTTCGACCGTGGCCCGCATGGAAAACGCCGCTGTTGTTGCAGCTGCTCTCGTGGAGTGTGCCGTCAGCTTGCCTGGGGGTGTGAGGCCTTGTGCCTCGTAGGCCTTGGTAATGCACTGCCAGATCCAGTAGGCCACGGTAGCTTTTGATGCCTTTCCCCCCTGATTTGGGCTCCCGTAACAGGACATCTGACTGGCGGAAGCCAGTTGTTCTGTTGAGATAGATACATAGAGCCCGGCATACGTCCAGTTTGTGCCATGTCTTTTCTTTGGGGTGTGTTGGCTTCGGGCAGAAGGAAGGCAATACAATCGGCTGGTTGAGATGGAATGTCAAATTTACTTTCGGGATAAATGATGGTTCCATTTGCAACGTTACGGAGTCTCGCTAGAATATGCACAGCTCTTTCCTTGCTGAAAGCGCGGCTAGCTCGGAAATCCTCCTAGCTGTAGGTAACCACAATGAGGAATGCGACCTTCCATGAGAGAAGCCGAAGCTCTGTGGATTTCAACGGCTTGAATGGTGGTTTGGTTAGGGTATTCAAAACCTTGTGTAGACTCCAAGTGGGGAATCTGTGGTTTACCAGAGGAGCCAGCTGTCTAGCTCCCTTCAGGAACTTTTTTACATAACTGCTGGATGATATCTTCCTTTGATTCTGGCCACCCAAGCATGCCTGTATGGCTGCCACTTGGCGGTTCAGTGTGTTTGGATGAAGTCCCCACTTCCGGCCCTCAGCAAGGAAGACTATGACTTCCCTGTCTGTGGCCTGCATCGGTTGTATGCCCATGCTCAACGACCATCTTACGAACGTCCTCCATGTATGGCTATATATGCGACGTGTAGACGGTCGCCTCGCCTGTAGCATGACTTCAATCACCTCCCGAGGGAACCCCTGCTGGTTAGTCAGGCCCGTTCAATTTCCATGCAGTCAGTTGTAGCCATGTCGGCTCCGGGTGTAGAATGGGCCCTTGGTGTAGAAGATCCGGTCTCTGGGGTAGTGTCCATGGCTCCCCAGTTGCCAGTTGTACTAGCTCCGAAAACCATGGCCTTCTTGGCCAGTGGGGTGCCACAAATACTACATTGGCTCTCTCTCTCCAGATTCTGCTGAGCATTGCCCCTATGAGGGCTGTAGGTGGGAAGGCGTATAGTAGGCCCTGTGGCCATGGGTGAGAGAGTGCGTCAATCCCCTCTGCTCCCGAGTAGTGGTATCGGGATAGGAACTGGTCGACTTGGTGATTCTGAGAGTTCGCAAGGAGGTCCATCACAGGCATTCCGAATCGCCGTGTGATCTCGGTGAATACTTCTTTGCCCGGGTTCAGGTTCTCCCTGCTTAGCCAGTCCGCCTGTTGGTTGGACAGGCCCCTTAGGTGTTCTGCCCGGAGACTTAAGGTGTATTGTTCTGCCCATTGAAGCAGAATCCTTGACTCCTTGAATAGGGATTTCGACCTGGTGCCTCCCTGTCGGTTGATGTGTGCCTTTGTGGACATGTTGTCTGTGCGTACTAGCAGGTGCTGGTCCTGCATGTGTTGGTGAGAGGCCCTCAGTGCTAGGGAGACAGCCCGGAGTTCCAGCCAATTTATGCTGTGAGAGGCTTGTTGTGGGGACCATTTGCCTTGCGCGATCAGGTGTCCGCAGTGCTCGATCGTGGAGATCATGAGGCCTTGTAGTGTAGCCAGTTGCATGAGGTCGACATACCCCCTGGTCCTGACGCTCCTTACCAAGGCCCGAATTTTGCTCTGTTTCTCCATGGGTAGTGACACTGTGGCCCGTCGCATGTTCAGTCTTGCGCCCAGGTGGACGATGTCCTGCGTGGGTGTTAAGTGGCTCTACTCCTCATTGATGATGAAGCCGTGCGCAGACAGGAATTCCTTCGCCCTTTTCATGTCGCGGGCTGCTGTCTGGAAGTCTCCCGCCCGTAGGAGGGCGTCCACCAGTGGTACCTTCAGGTCTTCCATCGTGCTGTCAGGTAGCATATAGAAACGTCTTGCTATCGATTGTAGAGACGAACCCCCCCCCTGGATTGGCCCATTCTTCCCATATCACATCCTCAACGTAATCAGGAAAGGGTGAGAAGGTCTGTACCTTAACGGGTCTTTTGAAGCCTCTAGGGTCCAGCTTTGCCGACCTGGATGATCTGGGTTTTTCCATCACTTCCATTTGATAGTTTAGTGTGGAGATGACTTTAGTCAGCAGGCACTGGAAATGGTCCATTTAAAACAGGTGGGCTTGACTTCCATCTCATCCCCTGACCATTCCCCTTCCTCCTTTTCAGTGTGGGGCATGGATATAATGGAGGAAGGTGTTTCCGCCAGATCAAAGCTAAGACTGCGCTGGCGTTGCCTTCCCCGGCCTTTGCCAGCTGATGCCCGGTCAAACCCTTTGGGTAGGGCGGCCTGCATCTGTTCCCTTTCGGCCTCTGATACCCCTGATGCCTCGCTTTGGGGTAGGTGTCTGAGATCACTGCTCCTCTTCCCTGCAGGAGAGGCCCGAGAATCAGAAGAGGATTGGGAGGTCGACGAATGCTGTCTCCGTCTCCTCCTGGGGGCCCTGGCACGGCTTCTGCCTCGGGTTCCCTCGCATTCAGGAACTTGGTTATGTGCCGTTCCCCCTCCTAGTTGGCCCCCAAGGGCCCATGGATTGGTGTGCCAGGGTCCCCCTGCATAAGGCCACATCCAGGGATGGGCAGGAGGGAGGAACCCGCTCTGGCCTGTGCCAAACCCCACGAACCCCTGCGATGGAGGAGGTACCATCGGGGCTGCTATAAAGTGGTGAGACTGGTGAGCCTGATTAGGCTGCAGGTGAGCCGGTTGCGCGCTCCCCGCCGCTCCCCACGGCCCCGGAAGCCCTAGGTTTCCCCAAGGGGCATAGGGTCCTGTCGGCGCCTGCCCTGAGTCGCTGGGTTGTGCTTGTGGTGGCTCGGAACCGCTGGTCTGCACGGCATCCCTGAGCTGCGGTTGGGGCTGCGCGGGAAAAATCGGTCCCGGCGTCACTTGTCCTGTGCTGCTGGGGTGCGTGGGTCATGGTGGCATGGTGTCCCTGGGCAGCACTGGGGGCTTCGGTGGGACGATCGGCTGGGCAGGAATTAGGCCCACGAAGGCTCCGTTCGGCCCCCCTGGGTGGAGTGGGGGCAACTCCGCTGCCGGTGCTTTGGGAGAACTTGGGGGCGGAACGCTCCTGTCCCGCTCCCCCCTGCCGCCCCCCCGATTGAATGGTCTCACCCGCTGGGCGTGCCAGCCCCATGGCTTTCCCGCGGCGTTTTCCCTTCCAGCTGTCCCCGCTGGCCGCTCCGCCAGCTGACTGCAGTGTAGCCGTCTTCCTGGCTCCTTTCTCCTGCGGCTGCTTGCCGCTGCCTCCTCCTCTGCCGGTCGCTGGAAGGGCGCCGCCATCTTCCACCACGTGCGGGGGGGGGGTTCCGCGGGGGCCGGCTGGCTCCTTGCGATTAGCTGGCCCCGCGGTGGAGGAGCTGGCATTCTGTTGCTGCGGCGTGACTCCCAGCCGCTGAATGCTTTGCTGCCCAACCCCCGAAGCCTTGGGAGTTATAGGGAGCTGCTCCTCTGTGTCCCTCGCTGCGGCCATGTTTCCTCTCTCCATGCTCCAGAGGATGTGTGGCCGAGTCTTTCCCTCTTCTTTCTTCATCCTCCGGGTCCTCTGTCGTTCTCTGACCGGATGGGAGGAAGATCCTGTGAAAGGAAAGGTTTTCCGCTATTTTTTAGCTAATTTTTAAACTATTTTCCTGCTAGGTAGTGCTACTGGCGGAGCAGGAGCTCCAAACGTCCTACCGAGCACACGGGCTATGCAGAAACTGGAGAGGTCAGCCAGGGCCACTCCAATAGGAGCCATGCAACAAAAGAAATTTGCATAGCCTATCAAGCGAGCAGAGGCATGACCTAACCAGTTCCTGGATGACTTCCCCCCACTGAAGGAGAATTGGTTTTATATCCTACCCTTCACTACCCAAAGGAATCTTGGAGCAGCGTACAATCTCCTTCCCTTCCTCTCCCCATAACAGACACCCTGTGAGGTAGGTGGGGCTGAGAGAGTTCAGAGAGAACAAGGACTGGCCCAAGGTCACCCAGCTGGCTGCATGTGGAGGAGGAGGGCGGAATCAAACCCAGTCCTCCAGATGAGAGTCCTGCTGTTCTTAACCACTACCTCACATGGGCTCTCAACAGCCAGCAAAGCTCCAACTACAGGTACAGTCCTTTTCCGCACAATATAGATATGTGCCTGCTTTGGATCCCAGCTGTAATAACGATGAATGCTTGGTTGCAAAACAAAACAAACAAAAAACATACTCCCAACAGAACCTGTTTGCAGGGTATTAACAGGATTATAGCTATTGGGGGGGGGGGGGAGACAATCATATTCATATGACCTATTGGTTCTTTGGGAAATGATTTCTTATTGGGTGTGAGTCATTTTCTTCCACCCAGTGTCACTGGGTTGGATTCAGTGATCTTTTAGCAGAAAGTACTGATAGTCGTGGATCTTTCTGGTGTTCCCAGGAAGGGGACAAAATCATTCTTTCTGCCTCTGATGGAAGAGGGTGGCGGTAACCTCCTCCCTCTCCTCAGTGCAGCCTCCCGCCCTACATGGTTCATGCATGTCCAGTGACCTGGAAATAAACGTTCCCTGGTCCACAAACCCTGTGTCTATGGATCACTGGATCCAACCTGAGGATTGGAATTAGAAATGTAGAAAGGGGACCCTACTGCATCTCTTACTCTAACCCCGTCTTTCAATTAAGATATTCTGTTTCTACTGCATCCACTATAGATGCCTGCTCAAACTCATATGGTAAGTCTCCAAGCAGTGGGACGCTACATTCTCACTAGTTTGTCCTACTGATGGAATTGCTCTCACCAGGACTGTTCCGAAATGAATCATTTAAAGGCCACAGCATCAAGATCTACATGTGAGTAAGCCACCAGAAGACCCCACAACAGACAGACGTTCCCTATCACTCCTGCCTTGCTTCAGAAACCAAGGTGTTTTTTTTGGGGGGGGGGGTTCCCAGTGGAGCCAGCTCACTTTCAACTACAAGCCTGGTTCACACATGAAGGTAAATCACTTGGCTAGAGTCCTCCTCATGTGCAGATGCAGCTACTGTGAATCCACTCCGCTGTCAAGGATTGCATTTCAAGGGATGAGAGAGGACATGAAAACACCATATGTGGTACTGTACTGGTGGCAGCCTATTCATGTGGGCAAGACAACCCCCCCCCCATTTTTATTAGTCATTCATCGATGCAGATTCATTTGGGAGAACTAGCCCATCCTACTGTTTCACTCAAATCTACTTTCCAGTAATATCAATGCGTACTGACTTTTCTCCATCTTTGGGGAAAAATTCTTCTTCCTGCAGGCATCCTGTTGAATATTTCAGACTCTCTCAAGTTGGCCTTGACATTCACAGACTTCTTTCTGCGCTGGTTTCCTCAGCTGTTCCTCCTGAGCCTCGTCTTTTGAACCTTCTGACATCTTCCTCGCCTGTTCATTTTCTTTCTTTTTTTTTTTTACTTAACAAAATGTAGCCTAGTGGAACTGCAAGGCTATTATGATTTCCTGACTCTGGGAGGGTGGACTATCCTTCTTATCACTCAACCCTATCTTTATTTCCCCCCCCCCCCGAATGTGAAATTGCAGGCAAAACTTATGAACACAGAACCCAGCAGTCCAGGACTCTCTGAAGTGACCAGTGGCAGCTCTCTGTGGTCTCCAATCAGGGTTCTTCGTCATCCAGCTACCTAAGACCCTGGGGACCTTGAGCATGCAAAGCATACACTCCACCTCCCTGAGAACCTACCTGGTGCAGTGGTTAAGAGAGGCGGACTCATTTTATATATATATAAAAGAGAGGCGGACTCTAATCTTGATTCCACACTCCTCCTCCACATGAAGCTAGCTGGGTGACTTTCGGCCAGTCACAGCTATCTATCTCAGAGCTCTCTCAGCCCCACCTACCTCACAAGGGGCCTGTTGTGGGGAGAGGAAGGGAAGGGGATTGTAAGCTACTTCGAGACTCCTTTGGATAGCAAAGAGCCGGGTATAAAACAACAACAACAACACCTCCTCCTCCCCCCCTGCCCTGTCTTCTTAGCAGGCAACTGATCTTTTATCAGCGCTTGATTAAAATTTGCTATCAGCTGGATAAAATTGCAGTGTGGGCTGGATGCATCCCCCAAGGGTCAGCAGCTGCCCATCCCCATCTTAAATGATTAAATTCATGAAAATCAGCAATACCCACGTGCTGGCCACACACTGCCCACTCCCACCACATTCCAGGAAACATGTGTCACAACAGCAGTGTATTTTCCAACCCTGAGGATCCTTCCACATTCAGGCATCCCCCTCCCTCACCTCCCCCTTGGGTGGGATTCTCTAGGAAAGCCATTCTCTCTCTCTCGGTGTGTGTACTGCTGTCATAACATTTCCCCCCTTGTCCCCCTTTAAAAAATGTCCCCGTTGCCTCTCCAGCCTCTCTCCTATCCCGTATGTGATTTCAGCACAGCTGAAGCTCCGGGCGATGAAACGAGGGACCCCGAAGGATGAAGAGGCTGCAGCACAGCTTGGCTCAGAGTCAAAGCCATTGTGCTCCCCCCCCCACCTGCCACGCCGGCTCTTTGTGGGGCAGGCGATTCTGAGCCAAACCAATCTCTCCTCTGTGGAAGGCCCACTCAACACGTCCAAGCCCATCCACTCCCTCCGGGAGCATTTCCAATCACCAACCAAAGGGAGTGCACGAAGC